CTTCCGGGTATCCCACACAGGTGCAGGGTCTCAAAGCTTTGGGCCGTCCTTGACTGCTTTCCCAGACCACAAGCAAGGAGCTGGATAGGAAGTGGAGCTGCCAGGATTAGAACCAGTGCCCATATGGGATCCCGGGGCATTCAAGGCGAGGACTTTAGCTGCTAGGCCACGCTGCCGGGCCCCAGAATGATTCTGATGGTGGAAGATATGTCTCTCTGTTTCTCCCTTTCCCTGTAACTCTTCATTTCAAAAAATAAATCTTAAAAAATCAAGTATATATCTTCTATTTAAATAAACTTCTAGATGACAAAAATTGTAAGTACTATTTGCAATGGTATCAACAAGTATGAAATAATTCAGGGAAAAAAATTTAAGGAATATGTGAATACTCGTTTACTCAATTCACTGGCAGTAATTATGAAAGACCTACATAAATGAAGAATGATACCAAGGTCACATGTAAAAGGATTTAATGTTGTCAAAGTGGCATTTTCTCCCTAGGTTGATCAGAATATTCAGTATAATTCCAATTAAGATATCAGTAGGTAGCGCCAGCAATGTGGCAAGTTAAGCCACTACCTGCACATCAGCATCTCATATGAGCACTGTGTATGCCAGCTGCTCTGTTTGTGATCCAGCTCCCTGTTAATGATTCTGAGAAGGCAGTAGAAGATGGTCCAAGTACTTGGGTTCCCCTGACACCCACACAGGAGACACAGATGAAGCTCCTGGCTCTTGGCTTCAGCCTGGAAGAGTCCAGCTATCATGGTCATCTGGGGATTGAACCAGCAGATAGAAAGCCTCTTTTCCTTCTCTGTGTAGCCCTCTCTGTGTAACTCTGTCTTTCAAACAAACAAATATACCTTTAAAAACAATGCAAAGATCCCAGAAGTGTGTGAGTGTGCATATGTGTAGCCAGAAGAGTCTCATAACCTATACTGAATGAGAAACAGAGCACCCAGGACACAAACCAGTTCCATGTAGGAAGCTAGTGTTGTGCCTAAATTGCTGTACTACAACACTGGCACCTCTAGTCTTTGAAAAAAAACAATATCATATAATTGATGAAATTCATATCTAATTTTGAGACTTCTTAGAAAACCTCAGTAATGAAGACACTGTAAGCAAAGGATGAAAAGTTAGACAATACATGTGTCTCCAATTTTTTTAATCTTCTTTTTTTTTTTTTTAAAGATTTACCTTTTTTTTGGAAAGGCAGATTTACAGAGAGAAGAGACAGAGAGATCTTCCATCTATCTATTTGCTTGCTCTCCAAATGGCTGCAACCAAAGCCAGGAGCCAGGAACTTCTGAATCTCCCACATGTGTGCAGGGACTCAAGCACTTGGGATGTCCTTTGCTATTTTCCCAGGCCATTAGCAAGCAGCTAGATAAGAAGTGGAGCACCTGGATTCAAACCAGCACCCACATGAAATGCCAGCACTGCAAGCCAAGGATTAGCCTATTATAACACCGTGCCTTCCCCATGTCTCCCATTTTTGCTGCCCCAGTTAAATGTAGTGTTTCTTATTCCCCATAATCAAAGAATTACAGCGGGCTTATGGTGCTTAGGAATTTGGCAAGGTTTGGTCACTGCACGATGGTTCAGTGGCTAAATCCTCACCTTGCAAGGACCAGGATTCCATGTCTGCATCAGTTCATGTGCCAGAAGCTCCACTTCGCAACCAGGTCCCTGATGGTGGCCTGGGAAAGTAATCGAGGATGGCCCAAAGCCTTGGGATACTGCACCCATGTGGGAGATCTGGAAGAATCTCCTGGCTCCTGGCTTCAGATTGGCTCAGCTCCAACTGTTGCAGTCACCTGCAAAGTTAAGCAGCGGACAGTTCTTTCTCTGTCTCTCCTTTTCTCTGTAAATCTGCCTTTCCAAGAAAAAAAAATTCTGAATGATTAAAACCATCTGATATTTTGACAGGATGTCTTAGAATACTGAGTTTTCCATCACAGGTTATTAGGGTAAAAGTAAAGAAATAGACAAAATTGGATTTCTCTATGAAAGATGCCATATGAAAAAGAAACCAATGCTTAGAGAATTTTTTAAAGTGAAACATGTTATTTAATGATACACTTCACAGAAAAGCTGAAAAATATAATAAAAAGTTATGGGGAAAACAGTTAAAGTAGTATTTGTCTACCTACTATCTCAACATGTAAGTAAATGAGATGCCAGAGAAAAGTAACAAAAAATTTCTTAACATGAGAATTTTCACATATGAATTTCTGCTTGGGATCTTATTTAAACACCGTGGACTTACAAAACAAAAACCAACAACTAAGGCAAGTGCTGTGACATAACACTCCACCTGTAATGCTGGATCCCATATGGATACTGGTTCAAGTTCCAGTGGCTCCACTTTCAATCCAGCTCCCTATTTATGGCCTGGAAAAGCAGCAGAAGATGGTATAAAGCCTTGGGACCCTGTGCCCACATGGCAGACCCAGAAGAAGCTCCTGGACCCTACCTGTAGGCAACTGTCTAGGTTGATTGTATCAAGGCAAGTGTTACATTGCTGGGAAAAAGGTAGCTAATAGCTGGCAGGCATCCTGGGCCTGGTTAATGCCAAATTTGTGTTAACTATACCAGTGTGCCAGTAGAGTTACTTTTTTTCTTTTTAAAGATATGTGGGGGACAGATGTGGGCACACCAGCAGACAGAGTCTAAACTACTGGATTCAAAACTCCATCTACAGGGAAAATTATAAGATCTGTGATATGACAGTGGCATGTGTCAGAACTAAGTCTCCCCAGTTATTCAAGATGATACAGTGGACAGCATGCCGAGATGCATATGGGGGACATGACAACTAGTTCACTCAGGCCTGCAGAGGATGTCTAATACCATGGAGGGCAGAATAAATTGGAGAGCTCTCCTAGACAAGTTTTAACAGCAAGTATCTGGGCAAATTGAAACTCTGAGGTGGACTGTCAGCCAATGGACCTTGGAAGGATTTCCTCATCCTTGGAGCCATGACATCAACAGCATCTCAGAACTATGAGAACCACTTTAGCAGTACCCTCGGAACATGCTCCACATTGAGGACCCTGACATGATATGAGGTGGCTGTCGCTCATCCCAGGCTAGTAATGCAGTTTGGCTGCTGGGAGCAGCCCTCTCCTCTTCTCTCCCCATTTTCCCCCACATACATGAAAAATAAAAGATTGGAAACAGCTGCCTCATCCACTTTCCCCCATTCGTTGATTCTCCCCACCCTAATCAGTGATCCATATGGGCATAAATCCTTAACTATGTAAACATCATTAAAAATAAACTTATTATAACAATTATAAACATACAGAAAGAAGCTCCAGGCTTCGGACAGGCCCAGGTCTGGACAAGCAGCCATTTAGGGAGTGAATCAGCAGGTGGAAGTCTGTCTATGCTTCTTCTTTAACTCTGCCTGTCAAATAAAAATAAATAAATCTCTTTAAAACAAGAACAATTCCAGGATGCTCATAGAATTTGATGGCCATTTTTCCTGAAAATATAAAGCACACAGAGAAAAGAGGTGATTTCTGTGGAAGAAACAAAATCCTGCATGAGAAAATAGCATCTAGGCTGAGGAAAGTAGATAAGCTACAGGCATGAAGTTGAAGATCATAAAACACGGTTAGCTACCCAAATATACAGTATTTGCAATAATATGTGAATGTTACTATGATTTTAATTCTGCTACTCAGTGTGTGATTAAAATTGTGATTAGCACAATTTTAATACTGAATGCTCACTTGACTGCAACCATTTTTGAGGACCAGTAACTGTGATTTCATGAATTCATGATTTCATGAATTAATATAAATTTTCTTACCCAGAAGCACCAAGAGGTGATGGGACAAGGATTTAGAAGCCCAATAAAATGTTTTTTTCTTTGAGTATGAATAGCTATCAAATGATTGTATATATGAACTAGTTGGCACATATATATAAATTTATTTACATGTACACACACATATATATACATACATATATGACTCTAGCAACATGGCAAGAATGAGCAAGACACAGTGAGTCAGCAAGAAAAAGAGAAATGTCATGCTTTGTTTCCCTCAGGGAGTTTCTCATTGTGTATAATATACAAGATTTCTTGCCGGTTCTTTGGCATAATAAATAAAGCTGCTTCCTGCAGTATTGACATCGCATATGGGCACCTACTAAAGTCCCAGCTGCTCCACCTCTGATAGGGCCCCCTGCTATTGTGCCTGGAAAAACAAGGAGACCTGGAATAGGCTCTTCCCTCCCCAGGCTGAACTGTGGCTCTTGTGGCCATCAGGGGAGTGAATAAGTCAATAGAAAAATCTCTGTCTCTTGTCTCTCTCTCCTTCAAATAAATAAATAAATCTTTTTAAAAGATTTCTGGATAATTTATGCATGAATGACTATAGTTTTGGTTTATGAATATTAATATTTTCTCATTTGTAAACTTTATAAACTTGGCTTTATAAACTTCTTCTACAAATCTATAACTGAATGACTAGTAATTCAGACAGGAGTTTCCATTTGTAACATAGATCTGAGGGTTCAAAAACAAACAACCAAAATATTATGTCAAGGAATGATTGTCTCCTAATGAAAAGTGACAAAATCTGAGAACATATCAATTGATCCTAGGTGGAAATGATGGAGTTAAAGATTTGGATTAAAACTGAGAGTACTGGGATGTGAGAATATAATTTTGATTTGGGAAAGCAACAAAAGTCAAATTTCAGTGCCAGACTGGAACTGCAGGGGCAATCTGGAGTTTTCAATGGCTGGGGACAGGAGGGAGGGGGGAAACGTGGCATGGGGGAAGAGGCGGAGAGGAAGATGCAGTAAGTCTTAGATGCTGACGTCCCTGGCAAGCAGAAAAAGCAAATACAAAGAGGTGTGTTGAGGGTCAGATTCAAGCAGGTTGCTGCGCACAGTCGCCACCGGTCAAAGTGCTAAGAGGGGATCCGAGCTCGGCAGTGACGCGCAGCCCTCACGTGACCAGGCGCCTGTGCCTGCCCAAGTCCCTCTCGTCCTGGTCCTCTCTGCCTGTCCAGACACCGTCTTATTACCCTTTGCTCGAGAGCAGAAGGAAGTAAGTTCTATCGATCCTCTCAAATCGGCTTTCGTGTACTGCCTTGCATTTCCCGGAATCAGATAGGGATGGCAGCGTTCAGGCCTCTCCCTCTGCTCCAGCCCCGCCCCCGAGTTTGGGTGCAGAAAATGGTGGTCTTCGGGGGAGGGGGAAGAGGGTGGTAGCTGGGAAATGAGAGGAACCCCGCCTGGGAGGAAGGTGTAGACCCTTGGAAATAGTTTCTAAGTAACCGTTCGCTTCCATTTCTCGCCTGAGTAAAAGTGACCAGCTTGGTGGGGTGGAGAGGTGGGGGTGCGGAGGACGAACCTTGCTACGGGGGTCTCTCGGAGGAGAGTGTAGTCTGGTGGGGGTGGCGGCAACACCCAGAACCCGGGGTGGGTGTGTGTGTATGTGTGTGTGTGGCGGGGGTTGGGGGACTTGTGTCGCTCAGGCCCGCCTCCCCGCCCCCAACCTCCTGTGGCGTCTTGTGTGCGGGACATCTTGAGGAGGGGGTATCTGTGAACACACCGCGTCTGGAAAGGGCTGGTCTGCGGGCCTGGACCCAGCTGCCAGGGAGGAAAGCCAAACGCGCGGCCTGCTCCGGCCGCTGCCCCGCCCCCTCGGGCTGCGGGAGCGGCCTGCCGCAAGGCGTGCCGGGAAAAATGGTGGGCTTGCGGGAAAGGAGGGGCGGTCGGGAAGCGAGCGTCGGCCGATCGCGGCGCCCAGTCAGGGCGGCTCTACCCCTAGCCACCCTGGCTGAGCTGGTTATGTGGCTCCAGTTACCGTGACACTGCTTCTGCGTTTTTCGTTTCCTCAGAATAACCACCGGAGAAGAAAATTCTCAGCATGGAAAAACCATGCCAAGGGAAGGAAGAACTGGCGCCGAGCGTGCCGCGGCCCCAAGTGGAGGAGCCTCCTGTGGAGCCCCCTCCCGAGAGGACGGATCTCGAGGAGGAGCAGTCTTCTGAGGAGCAGTCCTCTGAGGAGGAGTTCTTCCCCGAGGAGCTGCTGCCCGAGCTGCTGCCCGAGCTGCTGCTGTGTGCTGAGCGCCCTCGGCAAGAGCGCCTATCTGCCAAGGACCTGTTGGCGGAGCGCCCTCCCATGGAGCAGCCTCCCTGTGGAGTGGGCAAACACAAGCTCGAAGAAGGAAGTTTCAAAGAAAGGCTGGCTCGTTCTCGCCCACAGTTTAGAGGGGACATACACGGCCGAAATCTAAGCAACGAGGAGATGATCCAAGCGGCCGACGACATGGAAGAGATGAAAAGAGTGAGGAACAAATTGATGATTATGCATTGGAAGGCGAAACGCAGCCGCCCCTACCCCATTTAATGTGTTCAACCTACACTTCTCTTAATGCCTGAGAGAACAGTGTTGCCCCTCTACCCAACCCCGCCTCCCCTGCCAACCCCCCGGAACATTCTGGTTGTGTTTTCTTACATGTCTTTCCCAACCTTCCTAATTGTAATTTTCATCACTTTTTTTTTTTTTTTTGCGCATTTGTATTTAGGCATCCAGCAACTTAAACTGGCATAAAATTGTTTTTCTTTTCTCCCTGAAATCCAAGCTCCACTCATTTGCATGAAAGATGTGCATGACATGCTGTGAAGTGAGAAAAAGGAATTTTCCAGAGTTATATATAGTACCCATTTTTTTTAAAAAAAAAGTTTATTTATATATTAATATGCAGAGAAAAAGCAAAAAGTATGTACTTCAAAGACTTAACAGTGGCAACGTGTGCAGTGGCATAGGTCATTCTAATTCTTAAAATTGCTCTATATGAATTTTTTATTTTGTTCAAAGTGAACATATTCTGTTTATTCAAGATGAACAGTATAATGAAAACAAACAATTTTGAAAATTATTTAATCAGCTTATAATAACTGTGGCACTTAATAAATACTTGTCAGAACTTTAAAAAGCAAAAAGTGAATCCTGTGTTTCCTCTGCCTCTCTTAGAAATGCAAACAAAAATTAATACACATTTTTCCCATTTAATACCTTCCTTAGCATACTGCTGTGAAAATGTGTAAATTGTGTCTTCTACTCCCCCACCTTCACATGACGGACCCCAATCCACAAACTATGGGATGCTTTCTGAAGTGGTCTCAAGTGGGTTCATCAAGTTTCTCTGGTGACATTCCAAACCAGTGCTACCTTCTATTCCTGGCTTACTGTATTCTCAGTACTAGCCATACCTGGTATGCCCAGTTGCTTTTACTGGATCCTGCTTCTTTCCCTGGTTCTGGTTGCGGAAAATGTGCTGCGGTATTCAAGGTGCGAGGCTCACTATTCTGCACTCTGGTCGGCCACAGCTGAACTGAGTCTCTACGGACAGACACATGGAGGATGCGTTCCTTCCATCTCTAATGCTACCTTAGAGATGTTTCCAGGTGGATACCAAGCCACTGCTCAACCCTCTATGGCTTTCAAGAATGCTTAGAAACAATCGTTTCTGTGCCTTTCCCTTAAACCCTCCCTTTTCTAACCCTCCCTTTTGCTCACGGAACTTAGTTCAATGTTACCAAGGCTAGCAATTTGTGACTCTGATACTATGTTATATACTTAGAATTGAAAACCACATACCCCAAACCCAAAGAAAATTGATTTTAATTGCCTAACTTGGCTAGGTAAGTTTTCTTTCCAGAGCTCCCACTAGCTTGCATTGCAATGCAAATGACTTGTATAAATTAAGGAGGAAAGTAAAGTTTAGGAGCCATCACGATGGCTCTAGTGGTTGATCCTCCACCTGCAAGCGCTAGCATCACATATTGGTGCCAGTTTGTGTTCCGGCTGCTCTACTTCCCATCCATCTCCCTGCTTATGGCCTGGGAAAGCAGTGTACAATGGCTCAAGTCCTTGGGCCTCTGCACCCACGAGGGAGACCTGAAAGAATCTCCTGACTCCTGCCTTCCAATCAGCACAGTTCTGGCCATTGTGATCATTTGGGCGTGAACCAGAGGCTGTAAGATTTTTCTGCATCTTTCCTTCTCTCTGTAAATCTGTCTTTCCAGTAAAAATAAATCTTAAAAAAAAAAGATTAGAAAGGAAAGTTGATGCCCAAACTAGGAATGCCCCATGAATACTTAGATATTAAAATACTACATAGAGAGATGCATATACATATATATGAGAATGATTTCTCTATCAAACTATCGTTCAAATTTTTGAGATTTTGTCTTATAGATCCTGTTCATGCTAGAAATATAGACATTATTTAGGTTTTTAAAATTATTTTTATTCTGTAAAGATTTATTTTTATTCCAAAGACAGATTTATAGAAAGAAGGAGGGACAGTGGTCCAAATGACTACAACAGCCAAAGTTGACTGGATCTGAAGCCAGGAGCCTCTTCTGGGACTCCCATGGGGGTGCAGAGACCCAGGGACTTGAGCCATTTTCCACTGTTTTCCCAGGTAACACACAGGGCACTAGATTGAAAGTGGAGCAGCTGGATCACAAACCAGTGCCCATATGGGATACCGGCACTTGCAAGTGGAGGGTTAGACTGTTGTGCACTGTGCTTGCCCCAGTACTTAAATGTTTTCTAAATTCTGACCTGTCATGAATTCTTGAGTTTCTGTTTGACTGTGTAAGTTTCAGTAAACATTTGCTTCTGTTGAACCGTGATTTGCAATTCCAAAGGAGACACAGGGAGATATTATGCCCTCAAATTAAGTATTAAAATTAAATGTTTTATATGTCAGATTTTTGCCAAAAGTGTGGAAACCTGTGATCTACCCCACACCCATTTAATCTGCTTTTCTGTAAATTAGCACACCAAACTTGGAGAGCTGATAGTAGTCATGGTAATAAGTATGACGTAAGTAGAAAAAAATACAGTTAACTCAGAATAAAAAATTGACAGGCTTGTTCAGGCATATTTTAAAATGGCAAATTTAAGACCATCTCACCATGTTTAAGACATAAAATGTGCAAGTTTCTTGCTTCAAAGAAAACTTAGGCACAAAATGAAAAACAAAGAGCTGACGTAGAAGAAAGATATTTTTGCCAGGGCTGACATTATGTAATACCTTGCATTTTTTTTCCTCCCAAAATGAGTTCCAAAGTGGTATCAGAAATAAATTTGAAGTTTTCATTTTGCAATCAATCATCTTACAAGGCAGTTAGGTAAGCCTATGCCCTGGGGCTTTGTTGCTATTTTTATTTTCCACTGGATGATGCCATTTGAGAGTATCTTAATGGCTGCAGATCATTCTTCAAAGTTATGGCATCCTGGGATTCCAGCTGGTGTGAGACAAGGTTCTAGGGATTAATGTGCCAGTTTCCCAAGACAGGGTAAATTGATTCCCCTGGCAAGTGGAAGAACTCATGCAAGCCACACACTCTCCAGGGTATAACTGCCTTTTCTCTGCCTCAGCCTACAACAGGCGCCAGACCCTGCTCAGCTGCCAGCTGGGCTTCCCTGGACACACACACCTGGTGGGCAGCAGGGGGCATGATGAGTGTCTACCCCAGATGGGGCACAGCGCTTTGCTTTTCCCTCTCTTTCCACTTCTCTTCTGGAGACCACTGTGCACGGGAGGAGGGGATGAACCCCCAAGCTTCCTAGACACATTGGTTGGGCACGTCTTGGGCACGTCATGAATGTCCTGACTGGGTCAGACCAGGCAACGTGGAATCAAAGTAAAAGAGGTAGGCCCTTCTGTGAGTCCAGTGAAGCAGCTCCCAAAACAGCTGCACCCAAAATGACATTATGCAGCAGATAGGACTCACCCCGCCTTCTGTCTCTCCTGCTCTTTTGCCACCTGAAGGTTTGGAGTTCCTCTCTCTTGCCCTTCCACCTTCTGCCATGAGAACACCCAGACAAAGGTCCACACCAAATAAATCAGCTAGTCCATGGCAGTCTCCTTTAGTAGCATAAAACTCACTAAGACACCCCCCTCTCTACCTCCCGGCCCATGTGGAACGCTGGTCAGCAGCTTACCTGAACAACTCCAGAGAAGCAATCATTGAGGTGCTAGGACTGTGAAGAGAAAGCCCTGTGCTAACTGGGATTCTCCTGCTGTTAGGAAATAGTGACTTGCAGTGGGAGCACCCCACTTGTTAGGCCTTGAATTTTGATCAAATGACCAGATTCCATCTTCCCCTATTCAGATATACTAAAATAAGCAAACTTAATTATTTTTATGATGAAAAAGATGATACAAATAATTAAGTGGCAGATCCTAAGATCTAACAGATTTGTTGGCATAAAATTCCATGTGCTTGCTGCTCCATCACACTGCTCCCATGTAAATGGCAACTTATAAGGTTTAGGTAATAACTGATTAAGATTGCCAGTGCGATATCCTTGTTTGTGGATTTGGAGGAGCTTTCACATTTTTTTTTTTTTATCTAAGTACACGTATCCAATAGACGGAAGTAAATGTCTAGAATTTGGAAAGTAGATTGAATGGAAATATGGATTGTGGCCAGTGGTACCTGGCACAGGTACCACTCTATTGATTTCTGTTTAAATAAATGAAAGAAGAATATAATTGTAGACCAGACTAAGCAAGGCTACAACACCTGTTAGCTTCATGTGGACTAGATCAGGGACAAGCCAGGCTGGGCTAATTATTCCTACTGGTACAAGCATAAATTAGAGTGGGTGAGGGTTGTTTCGGCTTAGCCGCAGCATCAGCTGGCACTGAGGGCTAATTCTGTCAAGTCAAACCACAGAACCACCTGAAGAGTAATCCGGGAGTGAGAGAAACTGGGAGGGAAATAGTGGGTTCCTCCCTCTTGGGTTACCACTCCCATGGGAGGGCACAAAAACTAGGATGGGGCTGGGGTGGCTAGACAGAGAGGCACTCAACAACATCCGTGAGGGCTGGATAATTGAGCCTGGTTGGATGGAACTAAGCTTCAATACCCATCAACATGTACGAGAGCCAAATGGGATGTGGGACAGACTGGACTAGTGCTACACATACTGGCAAACCAGGGTAGGGGGCGGGCCTTGTGGGGGTTATTGTGGGTCGCTCTCACTAGGCTGCAGCTCCCACTGGTTTATGTGAGGGCCGAATATGTGCTGGGCAGATCCAGGCTGGACTGCAACACCCATTGGTTCCAGTGGAAGTTGGGGCTGAAAACAGAACCAACGCAGTAATTGCACCACCAGCTGATTGGGGCGATGGACTGTGTTGGGCCCTATGTTTGCTAGAACAAACAAGAATCTGGTCTGGGAATACCTCAAAGTTTCTTTGGGGATCTCCCCAATCGAAATGCCGGACTCAGAACCCTAACCAAGAAAAGACAGAAGACAGAACAAGTCAATCAACCACCTCAGCTGTATGTTGGCAGCGAAATACCGGGCAAACGGAGACTCTATGATGGACTGTGTCAACGGAGACTCTGTGAGGGACTATGTCAATCAGTGGATTCTTCAATGACCTCATTGTGCTTGGAGTGGTGAGATTGGCAGCGATTCATAACTAGTGAATTATCAAAACCACGTGAGCAAGTAGCTCAGAGCATACCCCACAGTCGGGACTTTGGGTGGGTGGGAAACCAGGTGGGGCTTCTCCCTCAATATCCCCCTTTACCTCAGATACATGAAGGAAATAATATGGAAATAATAGTCTTACCCACTTCCCTATAGCCCTTGAACCCTTTTCATCCTAATTAACTATGTAAAGATTGTCAAAAATATAATTAAAAATGAAAAAAAGAATATAATTGTATATCTATCCTTTTCTATGCATAAGTATCTTTCAAATAGAGGTGAGACTCTACTCAATGAAAGGAGTTATAACCTGGACATAAAAGTGAACTTTTTGGGGGACCAGCATGGTACTGCAGCAACTGCATTGGCCCCTACCTGTGGCACCTCTGTGGTACTGGAATCCTGCATGGGCACCGGTTCCTGTTTCAGCTGCTGCACTTCCAATCCAGCTCTCTGCATGTGGTCTGGGAA